TCGATCCCCTTGAGCAATTTGCGGAAGTACACGACCTCCTTTGCGGCCTCGGACAGCGCGATGATCTCCGACTCGCACGAGGAGAGGGCGACACAATTCTGCTTCTTCGATCCCCACGAGAGGACAGCGCCTTGCCAATGAATCAGCCAAGCGGAGGTCGAATACCGCGTCTCCCACGAAGCGTCGCTTGAAGCGGTCAGCCGGGTCGGCTTTGCATCGTAGGTGAGGCCGATTGTCTGGTTGTAGTGCAGGTAGACAAAGATGCGGTCGAGCTCGCGCATGAGTTCCGGAGTCGGGTTCGCCATGCACCGACAAATCTGGTTCAGCGGGTAAGCAATGTCAGGGCGAGTGTTCGTCGCGAGGTACATTAGCGAACCGCATTTTTCTTGAGTCGGCTTCACGAGCTCCGGGTGCGACGGGTTGGCTGGATCTCGATTCGGATCGTTGCAGATTGCATCGACGATCTTCGGCAAAGCGCTGGAGTGAGGCAGCACCTTGCGGCTATCGAGGCCAGAGGGCGGCTCTGGCATGAAGCGTTGAAGAAGCTTGCCGACATACTTGGTTTGGTGCAGAGTGAAGAAGATGGTCGTGACGGTCAATCTCTACTCCGAGCATGTCGTCGAGGCGGCCTTCGTCCTCGACCTCCCAATCGCGTTGGAGCCGATCGATTAGCGTTGCGTAGAACGAGTTTGGATCGACTGGATCTCCATTTGGCTGTAGCGGCGCGGAATGCACGATGGTGAGGTTGTCGACGTACAGCCCGACTGCCAGGATCTCGTTGCCGGCCGGATCGTCGTAAACGTACACGCATCCATCTGAATCGTCGAGCTTTCGCATGCCGAGAGACTCGAACCACACGAACAGTTTGCGTTGAAGCCGGCGACCGGCTTGCGGCATGCCGTAGATGGGCTTGACAACGCGGCAGATGCGCGGTGAGTTGTCGCCGCCAGGGACGGGAGGGACGTGGCAGTAGACGGCCTCGCCATCGATGATATCGCCCTGAAGGTAAGCCGCCGTCCAATCAAATTCGCGGATACCGCAGCCGTAGCGAGCCGCGTATGCGCAAAGCGTTCGATTGGTGCTGGAGCGGCTAGTTCCGGCCCAACTTTGGTCGAAGTCGACACCAGCCTGCATTGAGCAACCTTGGACGCAGATGCGAGCCTTGCAAGTACCGTCACGTTTGCGCTTGAAAACGTAAACCATGTTGTGCACGCGTCGATCGGGCGGGGGAGACTCGCCGGGCTCGAGGTAGACCCAGGACTTGTTGCGCGTGTGGTTCGCCCATTCCTTCTTTATTGCTTCGACGAAGCTCGGGTCCTCGCACGCAGCTGCGAAAGTCGACGGCGCGTCGGGGGAGTCGGCACGCGCTGGGATCCTGCGCCGCACAGAGGTACTGGCTAGAGCAGACTCGACCTCGCACCACTCTTCGAAAAGGGCGTTGCCAAGGGCGGAGAGCAGCATCTTTCCTTCGATCGTTGCGACAGGATCGTCGTCGCCGGTCGCCTCGATGGACGAGTATTGGTACACTGGCTATGAAGGCCTGTACAGTCCCTGGTGCCTGGTCGCCTACTAGAGGCCTAGTACGCCTCCCCCCCCCCCCCCCCCACACACACACCCAAAGCAGCACCCACGGCGCCCAGGCACCACAGGGCGGCCCTGCTCACAACGCAGCCGGCACCATCGGGACCCTAGTCCTCGGAGCGGTCCGGGCCGAGATCGGGTCCGGCTTCGGGACAAAGAGCGCCATCCCGAACTCGTTGACATTCGTAGAGCGGCGCCAAACGGTCTCTGGCCAAGCGTGGTGCGACGAGACGCGTCGGTGCCGGCCTCGCTTGGAATGGTGATCGCATACTTTGGGTCTTGAGCCATCTCTATTGTGCAGACGAGAACGGGACTCGGGCGCCTGGGGGCGCGAGGGTCCGACACACGAGTTCCGCGCACGGACGGACGTAACGATCCGGCCATCGCGTCACGTTCCACACCTTCCGGTGAGTTATTCTATGTCGGTTCCTCTCCTCGCGTTGTCGGATAACCTACATAGCCGCTGCGCGGCTATCTCCGACGGTAGAAGTCAAAACGTGCGCCTCACGGCCGTCTCGCTTGAACGGCCGCTTCCGCAGAGTCCAGAGTCGACCGATAGCCGCCGCTCCACACCCGGCAAAGGCACTCGATTGCGCGAGATATCCCGAGATGAGGTACCCCCCTGATCTCCCAAAAGATTTCCGCTTTGGAATGCTCTTGAGTGAGCTTTGTGGGGGGTCGGGGGTTGGAGCTTGGTGAGTGCTGAGTCGTGAGACAGAGAGGGGAGAGGAGGCTCCTGCGCGGCCACCTAAATTCCCGAGTCGGACGCTGCACCCCTCCACAGCGCCCCCCACCCACGTCACCGCCACAGGCGCAGGAGCGGCGGTAGAAGTCAAACGTGCGCCTCACGGCCGTCTCGCTTGAACGGCCGCTTCCGCAGAGTCAAGAGTCGACCGATAGCCGCCGCTCCACACCCGGCAAGGGCACTCGATTGCGCGAGATATCCCGAGATAAGGTACCCCCCTGATCTCCCAAAAGATTTCCGCTTTGGAATGCTCTGAGTGAGCTTTGTGGGGGGTCGGGGGTTGGAGCTTGGTGAGTGCTGAGTCGTGAGACAGAGAGGGGAGGAGTGTTGAGACTTGAGTTGTGAGTTGAGAGTCTGGAAGAGAGAGTGTTGAGATTTGACTTTTTGCGCACAGTATAATCAGTATACGTCCCCGCCCCCGGGCAGCGGGCTCAGCGGCGGAAACAAGACCAGCCGTGGGTGCGGGTGTCTCTACCTTGTCGCATGTCGGTTGTCGCATGTCGGAGCACGGACGGAGGATCCGACCGACGGACGCACGTCAAACTATTCGTTCACATTCACGGCCGTACACTAGGGGTAATTCGGCCGTCCGCGAGCCCCTAGCAGCCTAGCTCGCCGACGGCGAGAGAGATGCCACGAGGGGTCGCGGTGGCGTCCATCGCCAGGCTCCCTAGCTCAACCGACGACTCTTCGTGCCTCGCCCGGGAGATCGGAGCGTTCGGACCCGGCCGTTCGCGATTGGTCATGCAGCAATGAAAATGAGACTTCGTTCCCGTGTGGTGCCCCCCGCGCGTGTATGGACACATGTGCATGCACATCCACATGCACATGCATGTGCATGCAATACTCGGCACCCCGTGATCTGTGTTCATGCGACTCTCACTTCTTGCCAAAGTGCGGTGACAGACCAAGAATCTTACTCCTATCCAGTGGATGAGGCGGCGACGGCTCGGGCGCCAGTGGCGCGGCTGGCGACGCGGGAGGCGGCGAGGGAGGTGGCGGCGAACGGTTCGGGCGGTGACAGCGGAGGCGTGTTCGGGAGGGGCCGCTGCCACCACGGGGGTGGTGGCGCCCACGGGGGTGGTGACGTCGCGGGGGGCCGAGGCGGGCTTGGTGGGAGCGGCGGCTTTGAAGGCGGCGGCGGGGAGGGCGGGGAGGGGTCGGAGGCCGGCGGCGGCGGCGACGGCTTCGGTTGCGGGGATAGCGGCGGCGGCGGCCCGGCCGGTGGCGGCGTGGATGGCGCGGGCAACGACGGTGGTTCGGGAGGGTGCGGCTGCCACCACGGGGGTGGTGGCGCCGCTGGTGGTGGCGGCGTCGCTGGTGGTGGTGGCGCCAGAGGGGGCGGCAGCGGCGGCGGACGAGGTGGCGGCGTTGGCGGCGGAGACGGTACGAGCGGTGGGGGCGTGACTGGTGGCGACAGAGGCGGCGGCAGCGACGGCGGCGTGATTGGTGGCGGCGGCGTTGGCGGCGGCGGGGGCGGCGCGGCTAGAGGCGAGGGCGAGAGCGGCGGCATGCCGGACGGCGGCGGAGGCGTGGGCGGCGAGGGCGGCGAGGGCGGGGGGAAGATACAGTGGTGCTCCACGGCGCCGTCGACGCACTGCTGCCAGGAGGCGCCCCTCTCGTGCTTGCAGATGTAGAAGACGGTCCCGTCCGAGTGGTACGCGCTCTCGCAGAGAGCGGCGTCGCGGTCGCGCGCCGGCTCCTCGCAGCGGGCCTGCGGGGGCGAGAGAGGAGGAGGTCGAGAGGACTCTGAGAGGGTGTCGAGGGGGCTAGTGAGTGACGGGCCTGCGGAGGCGAGAGTGACCGCAGGTTGACCCTGCCGATCAGGGAGGCGCAGCCGACCATCTAACAAGGAGGAGGGGAGGGAGGAAGGGTGGAGCGTGCGAGATGGAGAAAGGAGGACCGTCGTGAGCGAGGCTCGCTCTCGCACCGGAAGCGATGCCCTGGCGGCCCTCGCAGCCTTTGCTGCTTCAAGCCTTGCTCTTGCCGCAACCGGTGGAGAGGGCGGCGGCAGGTGCATCCACCAGAGTATCGCCGGGTACGCCCCCCCTACTGCCGGTGGCGGCGCTGGCGTCAGCCCGTGGAGCGTCGTCGCTGCTGGCGGTGGCGGATGCGGTGACAGCCAGTAGAGCCCTACGGGCGGCGGCGGCGGCGGCGGCGGCGGCGGTGGCGGCGTCAGCTGCACTTGTGGGGCCGGCATCGCCATCTTGATGTAGCACTCGGATCCAAATAATGGGGTGGCGCGGAGCACGTCGGACGAGTACGACTTGCAAAGTGTGTACTTTGTCAAGCGCGAGTGCTCAAACGCTTTGCACCACACTCCGCTGCCGCACAGCCTGGCGCACACGTCGAGCGGCACGTTCCAGCGCGACGTCGGGCTGGAGCCGCCGTGCGAGTGACAGCCGCCGCCGGGACGGGGCCTGGCCCAGAAGTATCCGCCCACGAGCTCCATCTCGGGTGTTTTCCGACGACACAGGGGGTGAGACGGGGTCGTTGTTACGCGTGAGAGAATCAAAGAGATATGTATGTAACTAGTGAGACGACTCGAGATTGGTTCGAGATTGGGGCAGAGCGAGTGGGAGACTTTTCGGCGGGCGAAATGCGGCGGTTTGGATGCGTCCCCTTTGGGACGACCTGTTGGTACGACCTGTGGGACGACCTGTGGCAGCGACCGATGCCGTCACCGGACGCGGCGGCGAGGCACACGGGCGCCGGCGTGGCGCGTCGGCAGGCCCACCACGAGCGGATGCGCGACGAGCGCGCTCGGGAAGCGGCCGCGGGCGACGCGGAGCTTCCGCCGGAGGACGACGCGGTCGAGATGGCGAGCGCCGCCCAGCTGCTGGACAGCGTGGCGGAGGTGGGCCCGAACTACACCCTGCTGCGCAGCAAGGAGACGAAGGCGAAGCGGCGGAAGCGACAGCGCGAGGATGCCAGGGCGGCGCTCGACGGCCACACTGTCCTGTCCACCGGATCGCGCCTCGAGATCTTCTGCGACAGTGAGCGGTGGTACCCTGCGACCGTCATGGCGCGGGAGGAGGACGGGGACGGACGGATCGCGCACCAGGTCGAGTACGACGGCTACCCGGATCGGCGGTGGTGGCACATGCTGGACGACGAGCGGTGGCGAGCCGTCGCAGAGCAGGCCGGCACGGGCGCAGGCGGCGCTGCCGCAGACGGGGATGGGGATGCGGCGATGGACCGCGCGGACGGCGAGCGGGGCGCCCGTGCCGCGGGCGACGCCGAGGCGGCCGAGGTGCGGCCGGCGCCGCCTCCTGTGCGCCGGGGTGTGCGGCGCAGCGCGCTGGCGGACGCCCTCGAGGCGGAGGATGACGAGCGGCAGGAGGAGGCCGCGTGCGGCGATGGGCGGCCGATGCTAGCGCCACACGGGCCGGCGCTGTCGGTGCAGCTTCGGCGCGTGCGCCTGCGGCTGCGCGAGTTCCTGGCGACGCAGGCCGCGGCGGGGAAGAGCGTGCCGATGCAGCGGACGGCCCTCGGTCTGCACCCGACGGTGCGGTGGACGATCCGCTTCGGCAAGTGGCTGGCGACGACGCGAATCACCGCGCCGAGGGCGAGCCGGTGCACGCGACCGAGCGGGGCGACGCGCGGGACGAGGAGCCGACGGTGCGCACGGGGCGCGGCGAGAACACGGTCTAGCGTGGGATCCTGTAGACTATTACCCAGGGTGCAAGCTGCATGCCGTCGTCGCCTTTTTTTTGTGTTG